TCTTAGTGATCATAGAACTCCAGCTCCATACCAGACTGTGCATAGTTGAGGAGGCAGAGTGTTTCCGTCGTGCCCTGCGTGAGGCAAGGGGGACAGGACTTTGGATTGGAATCGAAGGAGGACGGAGGATAAAATACGTACTCCGAGTAACACCCTTCAAAGGGCGGTCTCGGATAAGGGCATGGTACGAGACGACTAGAGCGGTCGGCGATGAGGTTACAAGTGGTTATAGCACTAACTTACCTCAGCTGTTAGACAGATGACCTCGTAGCCGTCTGGGAGATAAGGGAGTGGAAATAAAAATTGGAAGCTCTTGGAAGGATAGTGGAAGCTAGAAAGGTCGATGGGCGACTTTGGATGGCAGTAGAAGGGCCTTTAGCGGGCTAATCAGGGCTAGGAGAACTAGCAAGGAGGACGGAGAGAGACGCTCGGAGACTCTTGAGGGGTGTTCATCAGGAGACATTGGCTAGGTTTGGGACCCCGATCTGTCTCAAGGATAGAGGTCCTGTCACGGGTGTACTGCAGATCCGGAGAGGCACGGCCTTGTTGGCCGATCCCGAAGGAGAGGTTTACTTAGACACAGGGATTCTTGGGATAGAGAGGGAGGACACGAGATCTGCGACCGGAACGGGATACTGGAAGTGGTAATCAAGGCAGTCGAGAGCTAAGATTGGAGGCGGACGTGAGTCGTGACAAAGAAACAGGTCCGGGCTGCCGCGACTGTCACAGATCCGGGCTGTCGCGACTGTCACAGGTCCGGGCTGCCGCGACTGTCACGGGTCCGGATTGCAGTGATTGTCATAGGGTCGGGTTGTAACAGTTGGCTATAATACCTAACTCCGTCTTCTGACGGTCCAATGGAACCCGACACGATGGGGCCACAACCGACCACGGGCGAAGCGGGAGAAGAGTACAGGGCATCGCCCGATCGAGCACTGAGGGAACTGAAGGAACGAATTAGGCAAGAAGCACCGCTGAGATGGGCTGACCAAACCAATGACGGAGGTTCCGATATGAGAGGTGAACCAGTTGCGACAGAGCCACAGGAGGCTCTAAAGACGGGTACCTCGAGCGGACGACGAGAAACGACGAGGCGGCGCTCCCCCGA